AGTCAGGTTGTGAGAGATCCATTTCTGAGTACAGCTGGTTAACTCAAGATTGTGATCATCAAAAAACAAATCTTTGCTTCCCGTTTTCAATAAGCAGATTTGAAAAGGACATACTTCTAGAGAACAATGCAGTTTCCTCTGAAATAAGAAGGAGGAAAATCTTGCTAGCAACTGCAATTATGATACATTCTCATCAAATGAATTATATTGCTGAAAATAAATCTCCTCCGAGACACATGAGATGGAGACTGGGCTATAGTCAGACGTGTGTGGTACTGGCTTTATAAGTTGTACTCAACTTGATTAATATACATCATCAAATTATACTGCCTTCCACTGCCCCAACTGAAGGCCATTGTGTCTTCAATGACAAAGTTCAGAGTTGGATAAAAATGTGTTCGACAGCCGGCTCATTGCAGCTGAAGCTCTATTCTAGCTCAAGGACAACATGTCAGGCAGCTGGGATGGGCATACGGGGCGGGGAGGGTGTCTCTGAGGCTGGTGGGCTTCACACCTGCAGCTCATGGACCCCTCCATCCAGTCATGCAGCGTGGGTCATGGCCTGGGTGAGCAGGCACTGAGACTCTGGAAGCTAAGCCCATGGGTAGGCATCATTTCCTAGACCAGTGCTTCTCAAACTTCCTAAAGCTGCACTCTTTTAATATAGTTCCTCATGTTATGGTGACCCCCCTAGCCATAAAATTAATTCATTGTTACTTCAGAACTGTAATTTTGAACTGTTATGAATCGTGATGTAAATATCTGGTATGCAGGATACTGATATGTGACCCCCAAAGGGGTCATCACCATCATGTCCCAGAGTAAGGAAGACACATGTGACTCTTCAGCTTCTCATATAGCCAGGCCCCTCCCAAGATCCAGCTTCAGTGGCCCTTTCTCAGCAGGAGCTCAGCAAGGACTAGGCCTGGACCCTTAAAACCTTGGCACCCCCTCCTACTGTGAGGTAGGCAAGATTTGGTGAGATAGCATTGTAACAGGACCTCTGTGTTATGAAGGAGAGTTTGCAAATGAGGACGTGATTGTGGGGATAGGAGGGATGATCAAACAGAGTTCATGGAACCTTTGAGGAAAATGGGAGACCTTGGAGGTGAGTGGAGCCTGAATACAGCTGGACATTCTAGTGCCTCTGGAGTAGGACACTGCAAGTGGCATGAGCCGCCCCTCAAGGTAGGCTTTTGCCAGGGCCACTGAAACAGATGTGTGCAGGTAGAGTGGAGGTGGTGGCTTGGGGGTGGGGACTGACAGTCCCTCCCTCTTACCTTGCTGCCTGGGCTGCCAGGACCCATGATTAGGCCTCTTACCATCAAACCTGTCAGCGGGGCAGCCTGAGGACGACTGGGTCACCTGTAAGCACCACCCTCTGCTCCTTCTTCAGCCCCAGAGCCCACCTGCACCAGATTGGGCCAGAACAGCAATTCACAGACCTAGGATAGTCACAAACTGTCCCATGGCTTTTAGGTCTGAAGCTAGACCAGCAGGGCTGAGCAGCAGAACCTGAGGAAGGGCTGCTTATGGTGTCTGCCAAGTGAGAGAGAACCCTCCAGAGGGTACAGGAGGGCCACCCAGATCTTATAATTGTCAGTGAGTGCTCCATCAGCAGCAATTTGTAGGCAGGACCATAAAGACTGTAAACCCAGTCTAAAGTACTACTGACTTAACATCTGACTACAATGGAGTTAGAACTGAGTGAGGCAATAATCAGGGCAAGATGGGAAAAAGAGACACATCCATGTTCTGAAAGCAGCCTGTTCAGGGACTGGAACAGGGCTCAGTGGCCCTGGAGAGCCTGGCCCTGGTGTTGGGATGAACAGACCTTGAGCGTAAGGAGAAACAGTGTATATATCCAGGGGTCAAGACACAGGCTCTAAAGATATCTGCTTTACTGCTGTGTTACTAGCTATGCTGTGCCCAAATTCACCTCCCCGTGCCTCAGTTTATGCTTCCGGTAAAACAGGGATGATAGTCATTTACAGGAATGTACTGTGGCTTATATGAATACACACACACACACACACACACACACACACACACACACACACACACAATACTAGGACAGTCTGGAAACCTAGTATAAGACATGTGTGATTGTATGGTAGTAATACCATCATCATAATTATTACTTCCCCATGCCCATTCTGATGGTCAATCTTGTAAACCTGACAAGGTTGGAATCACCTAGAAGACACACTTCCAGGCATGTCTCTGTGGCCATTTCCACAAAGGTTTCATCAAGGTGGTAAAGCTCACCCTCAATACGGATGGCACTGTCCCATTGTCTAGAGTCCTAGACTAAAAGAAAAGGAAAAACTGAGCTACACACTAGCAGTCCTCTCTCTGATTCTTGAGCATACACATGTAAATATGTGCTTCCCGCTCTTGCTGCCACAACTTTCGGAACCATGATGGACTGGATCCTCTAATTGTGAGCTCAAATAAATCTTTCTGTAATTTGCTTATTCCAAGCATGTTGTCACAGCAACAGCAACAAACTAACTAAGAAAAATGAAACCAAGAAGTGCTGTGAGATACCCAACCATATGGTTCATAGGCCTCTAGAACTGGTTTGTGGGAGGGATGGATAAGAGTCGGAAGCTGCAGGCTAGAGAAGCCATAGAATGGTTTAAGCAGAACCTTAATGGGCCATTCTGGTAGGCATATAGGAGGCTAGAATGCCAAAAGCAATACTGTGGAAGCTAACTAAGCTCATTACGTTTTAGAGAAGAACAGGCCTCTACTAGGAACTGGGCTAGCAACTATTTGTAACATTTTGGTAAAGAGTGTTTGCATTTTGCCCATGTCCTAAGGACTTCAGTGAGACTGGTTTAAAACAGATGGAAGAATTCTTTTGGAGGCTGGAGAGATGGCTCAGTGGTTAAGAGTACTGCCTGTTCTTCCAAAGGTCCTGAGTTCAATTCCCAGCACCCACAGGGTGGCTCACAGCCATCTGTAATGAAATCTTGTGCCCTCTTCTGGCTTGTAGACATACATGCAAGCAGAACACTGTATACATAATAAATAAATCAATAGATAAACAAATAAATAAATCTTTTTTTAAAAAAGAATTCTTTTGGTGGAGGAGATTTCAAGACAACATAGCATTCAGGTTGTGGCATGGCTAACTGCTCTCTGCCCTCACCCAGGTCTGCAGTGATAAGACAGCAGCAAGCAGGGTGCAAAGAGAGGGAAAATGTACACTTTGGCTAGGAAGGCTGTTTGAACCCATTTAAAGTTGCAGATGAAGAAGTGTAGGGAAAGTGGTGGTAATTCTTGAAGAGACTAGTGTCATTAAGGAGAAGCTTCCTTAATGGGGAGATGGCAAAGCCAGGAAATTACTTGCCACACAAATGTGAAGACCTAACTTTGAATAAAAAGCCAAGAATGGTGGCGTGTGCTTGCCATCAGCGCTGGGGATATGGAGGAGCCAGCCCAGCCTCATCAATGAGCCTTAAGCAGTAACTTTTGAGGTGGACTAAGGACTATTGCATTTTGCATTCAATGAGCATGCCACTTTAGGGACCAGGAGTAGAACGATGTGTTTGGACTTCAAGTTCATACTGAGTGGGAACATGCTAATTAAGGTTAACCTGACAGGATTTAGAATTGCCTAGAAGATATATTTTATAAAATGTCTCCCTCCCTGAATGTGAGCAGCACAATCCCATGATTTTATTTATTTATTTGGCTTTTCAGGGCAGAATTTCTTTGTATAGCCGTGGCTGTCTTGGAACTAGACCAGGAATTACAGACCAGGCTGGCCTTGAACTAACATAGATACACCTGCCTCTGCCTCTGCCTCCCAAGTACTGGGATTGAAGTGGTGTGCCACCACTGCCTGGCTTTAAATAGCCCTGACTGTCCTGTAACTCACTCTGTAGACCAGGCTGGCTTCAAACTCAGAGATCCACTTGCCTCTGCCTCCTAAGCAATGAGATTAAAGGTATGCACTACCACTCGTGGCTAAATAAACCCTTCTTTAAGTTGAATGTGCTAGGTACTTTGTCACAACAATTAGAAAAGTGACCACCATTGCTACCCACTGAAGCTCCATTCCGACCCATCTCCTATTCACCTTTGCAGCCATCCCTCGTATAGACTACTCTGACTTAGTTCCCCATCACCCAGGCTTTCCTACACTCC